AGAGAGAGAGAGAGAGAGAGAGAGAAAGAGAGGGAGAGAGGGAGTTGTGTCATCCGTAGAACCCTTTGAGTCCCACAATATTAGTATTAGAATTCACAAATAAATACATTGGATCTATGGTGTGGGCCTGCAGTGTTGGCAAAACGCGTTGCGTGACGGAGTCCATTAGATTGTTAGTTGCCAGACAAGAGGAGCATAAGGTTGGCAGCGTTTGTGTGTGTGTGTGTGTGTGTGTGTGTGTGTGTGTGTGTGTGTGTGTGTGTGTGTGTGTGTGTGTGTGTGTGTAGTGTGGCATATCCATGATCTACAACGCGGTCTATGTGCTTTGCAATTTTTATTACTGGCTCAAAGGGGGACAATCTATGAACGGTCCAGTCCACGTCTTCCACAGCACAGAATAGAACAGAGGAAAACGGATACCAACAAGTGTGTTATATTAAAAAAACAACAGAAAGCAAAAACTATAATTACAAAGGTACAATTTATTTCATATTGAACATCTGAAAATTTCTACCCAATAATGGGGGAAGTAGGGGTTGAGCTGTGTTTCTGAAGGCTACCCAGAACTTTGTGGTAAAAATCAGTAACTACCCATGGGGACCCCAACCGTTTCGCCTGAGACGCAGAATTGAGTTGGAGATAGTTCGGTGTTCCTATGGCATATTGGTTCCACGTTGCTTGGGCGTTAGGAACAGTTGACGTTGGGTTCCCTGTCTTTGCAAAGTTGGTCCACCTTTCCATTATTTGTTGAGATACTAGAAGATCGTTAACATTAGGTACTCCATTTGCTGAACCGGTATACTTGTCCTGTTTTGCGTCAAACAGGAATATCATCTCTTGTCCATGCGTAGCTGACATCCACTGTGGGGATTTGCTGAAGCTTGGTCTGTAGTTGAACTGGTACAAGTAATGTTTCTTTTCTGGAGCTTTGCTTACAACTTTTATCAATTCAGATACCATGGGGGCCCCAAATATAAAGTAATCTACACCGTCAAGAGTACCTCTTTGTATGGCGTCAGGGGTTGTCTTACCTCTGAGAAATACTCCTTCCATATCCTTAAGTATCTTTTCCCGGTCGATATTAGTAAACTGAACCAGCTGACCTCTCCAAATCTGTTTTGCCATCTCCCTTGTGATTGGTTGTGGGCCAGCTAAAGCCGGAATGAAAGCTCCGAATTCATCACTATTATACCCCCTTAAAGTATCTACGTGGCTGAATTGTCCTCGAGTGAGTAAGGCATTTGGCGTTTCTGGCAGAAAACCAAACGTTGTTTCTACTCTAGGAACATTGATGAGGGTTGCTTGTGCGGCTGCCGTGATTCCTAGAGATTTCTTGAGCAAGGTATTTGCATCTACGTTTTGCAAGCAGGACAAAAGTGCTGTTGAATTTTTCAAATCGTTGCAGTTAACGCCCGTGCTTATCAATCGGGCAGCAATGCGAGGAGTCATTCGATTTCCTGGATATTCGACTGCCCAAGGAGAAAGAGAGGAACCACTTTCCATGATCGCTCTCTGGAACAGACCTTTGGCTAGCGGTGACAGAGTGAGGAGAGAGACACAAGCTGACCCAGCACTTTGTCCAACAATAGTGACAAGATTTGGGTCACCTCCAAAAGAAGCAATGTTATTTTTGACCCACTTCAGAGCGGCGACCTGATCCAACATCCCATAGTTTCCAGGCATAATGTCATCTTCTGTGGATAGGAATCCGAAAACATCAAGCCTGTAATTAATGGTTACAAAGACTACTCCTTTAGCTGCGACGTAGGTAGCATCATAGGATGAGCCTGACCCAGAATTGTACCCTCCTCCGTGGATAAACACCATGACGGGCAATGGAGCGTTGCTGGTTCTCTTAGTCGGCGTGTACACGTTAAGGTAGAGACAGTCCTCGCTGTGAGGAGCGTTTGGATCTCTGAATGCATCATTTGCGGCCACTCGCTGCAGACACTCGTCCCCAAACACCAGGGCGTCTCTGACACCAGTCCATTTGTCCGGAGAAGCAGGTGCTTTAAAGCGGAGTGCTCCTGAAATTGAAAAATAAATCACAGTAAAGCCTGCATGTTAATTTAGGCACCTAAGAGATGGCAACTCACAAGTATTGGAATTCAAAGTTTTCAGCTATTTCAACTGGAGACAGAGTAGCTCATTTGTAACAATAGCCCCTCACTATTTTGATAAATGTTTTTGCTTGAATCCGGGTTGTGGTGCTCGTAAAATAGAACCTGGGAATGATGATGCTTTCAGTTTTCATTTTATGTTTTTTGTAGAAAAGTCTTTGTTTTCAAACAAGGATTCAACACACAGAATACAGTTCATTTCATAACATAAAGATCTCAAGGTATTTAGTTAAATATTGAGAAGCACTTTAAGTGTCACAGAATCGATTATTACGAGTAGCAAGACCAGTTTTCATGTGTATACACTTCAGTCACGGACAACGCATCGGCAACACACATGAGTGTCTAGCAGTGGATATTTTATAGAGAAAAAAAAAAATGAAAAAACGCAATGGAAAACAGACACACCTCATGAATACGTAATCTGATCAATGAAATGTTCATACAGATGCATAAATTGATTCAACAGATAGATATGAAAATCGGTACAAAAATATTCTACAAAAGACATTAAAAGTTAAAGAATTGTTTGAATTTGATTTAAAAAGCGGACAGGCAAGCAAGCAAACAAGCACAAAAGAACTCACATATACATAGAAATGTATGGGAGCCTACAGAAACATAGAGACTGCCTGACAGACAGCCGAGATGAAGAAACCGAAGTGTCAAAAGAGAGAGAGTAATTTAAAGAGAGTCTCTCACCTGTCGGAGCTTTAGCATAGGGAATGCCAGCGAACATTGCCACAGGGACTGAAGGTCCAGAGTCAACCCTTCCCCTCAGTGTACCAGAGGTGGTGTTGGCCAAGAGGAACATGCTGTTTGTCGCTGCTTGTCTTGTCTGTAGAATTTCATTGCTCAAAACCGTTATGAATATAGCCTGGAGCAGCCACGTTGTTGCCATTTTGCAAGGTACAATGAGAAATGTGAAGACCACAAACAAACGAAGGCCTTTATATAGGCCAGACGACACTCTAAAACATTGTCAAGCCTATGGCATTCCATGGACTGTACAGGTACCTCCTATTGGTGACTTTCAACTTTTTTAAACTGCGAGTCCACTGATAAGAATTATGAAGTGGCCCAGGGATTTCTTGGCAGTATTTTTCCTTCAAAATAAAAACGGTCATTTTTTGTTAGAAGTCTTTGTTATGTTATTGTGCCACTGGGGCCTCGCTTTATCTGTCAGAGCGAGGTCATGGGTAAGATGTCAATTTTAGGGACATATATGACTCGTTAAAAACCCTTCTAAGTGCCGGTCAATTTGAGGGTTTACATTGATGTGTTCTGTAGTGAAATAAATGCAATCACTAAGTATTATAGGACGTCAAAGTTCCTGATATGACAAGGCAGTATGAGGGTTCAGGGGGAAAATAACAAGGCACTTTTTATTGTGTGGGCAAAACTTCGTTGCACAACATATCCTCAAATGTTTTTTTAACAAGTGGATCGAGGTTACCGCTACTTTGCTCAGCAGTTTGTATCAGTTCGTCATAACGTTTTGTCTCGCATTAATAATTATAATAACATTTGTTCAAAAGCATAAGTGAAGCAGCGTGGTGGAATCAGGCTCTCGTCTAAATAATCAAAGTGAAGAAACTTGCATTTTTCCCCAGGTTT